AACATGGTCAACTTTGTTGTTTAGAGAGCGAACATTCCAGCTTGCACATTTCATACTAAGGCTCTTAACTCCAGTCTTGTTCTTCACCAGTTTTTTTGGGTGTAATATGAGATTGAATGCTTAAGCTTGTGCTGTTCAGAGATATAGGCTGGGCATGATCTATCTGTGGCTGAGTGTGGGTACTGTTCATCAGTTCTCTTAGAATTTTTACAGTTAGCACAGGAGGGTTGAAAGGAATGTGTGTCTTTATTTGTACATGAGTTAGTTTCATGATCTTCAATGCAATGAGCACAGACATGGTTAGATGCTTGGCACTGGGCTGAGTAATGACCAAACTTTTGGCATTTATTACATCGTTTGATGTAAAAGTGATCATACACCTTGCAGCGGTACAAACCTATCGATAGGAAATTGTCACGATTTTCGATTAGCTTCCTTATGGCATTGCTCACTCTAACAGAAGCTTGAAACAGTGGTTTTTCTGTTTGATAATTTCGTTGTTTGCGGACTGAGAGTACAGAGAATGTTTCACCAGAATCAATGAGGGACTTGATGTCAGGGTAAAATTTCATAATGGTTTCAAAGAGATCATCGGGTGTGATTTCATCTCTAATCCCGGAAATGGATATTGTAGGCAATTTGGTTATAGGTTGCTTGAGATCAGATTTGGGAAATTATTTGGAGATAGATTGAACTAGCTTTGTTCGATCAGCTTGACTAGATGTGGTGATAACTGTCTCACCTTTCTTGTTTTCGAAGGTATTATCTACAAAAATGTTATTTTCTGTGATAATAGTTTTAAGGTCAGATAATGGAACTTTTTCTCCCCCTTCAGAGACTATTACTGAAGCTGGATGCCTCAGTTTTTCTACTCTGCTGCTGTCACGCCAGGGATTTTCGACAACACCATTAGAGCCACCAGTTTCATGGTTATTATTAACTGGTGAAAGGGTTGGTGATATGGAACAGTTTCCTGCGGTCAAACTTAATCCATGAAGAGTGGCAGGATTTAACAAGAGATTTTTAATGGTGTCTATGTCAGCATCTAGTTTTGACATTTTTGTTTCAAGGGTGTGTACATGGGTTTTCAAATCAGCAGCGTTTCTCAGGTTTGCTTATATGTAACACAAGAGTCACAATGGAAGAGGAAACTTCCAAAACGTTTACCTTTCTGTTTTGATTCAGTGTTAGCATTGAAAGATTTCAGTAAGGACGGGAAGCATACATTATCAGGAAAGTTAACACGTTTACCGTCCTTTATTTCATAACAAGTAGCGTGAAAATTGCTCTTACATTCATAACAACATACCACTTCTCCTTTAGAATCGAACGAGCAGTTTCTGCAGATTCCATCAGCAGCTAACATACGTGGATCGTTCACAACAAAACAAGGGGGGCTGGCACTATCATCATTGTCATTATCATTACCATTGTCATGTTGCCCCTGTAAGACATGATTTGAGGAGTCCAGCCCCTCTGAGTTTTGATCGGGATCTACCATTCTTTTGGGAGGATGGAGACAGATATAAAATCTTTTATGATGTATAACTCAGAAGTTTCGGGGTCCTCAAATTATTTGTTATATAGTAGTGTTGAAAGTATTAAAAATTTATGTCCGGTTAAAAAATTATGTCCGGTTGTCCAATTAAAAAACTTACCAGCCGCGTGTTCCTGGCCCTGACCTGGATGATGATAATCAAATCAAATCGAAACATAATGATACATAAGATCATCACAAATATTCATAAAAATATCTTGATAATTTAAATTATACCTTAACAGCCTAGTTCAGGTTAATAAACTTCTTCTTTGCTACGTAGGGATGAAACTACTGATAATCATTAGAAGTCAGTGATAAATCACTTCACACCAGACTTTCATTTGATTATGGGTGTTGTTAAACATACATAATATGTTTGATAGTATGCCTGATGTCATATTACTGGGTGGCGCACAGCCTATCATTCCGCCATATCAGGAGGTGACCGGGACATGATTTTAGGCCTGACTGGGACCGGGACCGGGATACAAAATGTGACTTGACCGGGACTGGGACCGGGACCGGGACTGAGATTATCAATTTACCGTGACCGGAACCGGGACCGGGACCAATAATTTCTGGGATTTCTATCTTACCGGGACCGGGACTGGGACCGGGACCAACGATCCAATTTTACCGGGATGACCGGGATGACCGGGATTTGACCGGGATGACCGGGAAGACCGGGATTTGACCGGAATGACCTGGATGACCGGGACCAAAACTGGTATTCTCATATTGAAAGCTGCAACTTTCATTTACATTATAATTGAACAATTTGAATAAGTAATAACTAGAATATTAAATTAGAAAAAACTAGAAAAAAACCCATCAATATGGGGCATGGGCCTAATGTACTACACCAATAATGTTCATGTACTGATTACTCAAGTTCACCCTCATTCCTCATTCCTCAATCAATGATCCCTCAAATTATTCAACAGTTTCATTCTCCAATTCCAATTGACAATTGGGCGTAGCCCGAGTTGAAAACTTGATGTTACTTTGCACTTATGAGTTATGTAACGATATTAGTTACCTAAACTTGTTTAGCAATTTTAAACATTGTTTTATTTGGCTCAGAGGTTGTTTAAAGATGAAATTCACAATGAATGAAAGTAAAAGCTTAAAATCACAGTGAATGAAATTATGTAAAAGATCCCGGTCAAAATCCCGGCAAATTTGAGTGATTGACCGGGACCAGGACCGGGACCGGCACCAAGAATCCTGAATTAACCGGGACCGGGACCGGGACCGGGATAGCTCAAAATTGCCAATCCCGGTACCGGGATTCCCGGTACCGGGAATCCTGGTCACCTCCTGCGCCATATCTTACTAGTATATAATTACTACTTTACTTACTTTACTAACAAAATGTACAGTCAATTAAGGGGGCAGGGGGGTACTCATGGAAATTTTCTCAAAATCAATTTTTTAGTTGTTTCTAATAGAGGGGAGTGACGTCTATCAGATGCTTTTAATCCCATAGAAAAATATTGTTCCTAGCCGAAATTATTGCCGGTCAAAGGTCAGTGCTTGTGTGTAATTGTATTGTGCAAGGGATTTTTGATCGCGCGTCCTGAAAATCGACTCTAAAAATCTATCTTCTCCTACATTTTTTGAGCAATCACTATGAAACTTTCAGGATATGTTCTAGGGACCATTTAGAATCATCAAAAAACGAGGTCCAAGATTTTCAAAATCGAATACAAAATTTTTAAAGGCCTATCTCAAAATTCCATCCGGCTTATCTCTTCTAAATGGTCTCTAGAACATATCCTGAAAGTTCCAGAGTGATTGCTCAAAAAATGTAGGAGAAGATAAATTTTTAGAGTCGATGTTCAGGACGCGCGATCAAAAATCCCTTGCGCAATACAATTACACACAAGTGCTGACCTTTGACCGGCAATAATTTCGGCTAGGAACAATATTTTTCTGTGGGATTAAAAGCATCTGATAGACATCACTCCCCTCTATTAGAAACAACTAAAAAAATCGATTTTGAGAAAATTTCCATGCCTCCTTAAATCCCCTTAAATCAAGTGATGCATTGGCAGATCATAGCACAATCAAATCAAGTGTTACAATTGGCAGAGCACAATACATTTAGGTAACGGGAATGGTCCATTGCTACCAATATTTCTTAACATTAATCAATCAAAAATATGCACACAATTTTCAAAACACATGATCAACTCCATCATATGAGCAGGGATGAGGTTGTATGATACTTCTGTTCCCAGGTAATTGGCGAATCATCCCTCATCCTTGAGTTGGAAGCAGTCCAAGGTCGTTTCATGCACCCCGTTAATCGAGGGTGATGGCACACTGCTATACAGGAAAAAGTTGGAAATTCCGAATTTTGCTTCGTCAAAATTTGAAAATTCGAATATTTTAGACCACGCCCATTCAATATTAAAACACCTATATTGTTTTCTCTGAAAATGCTGAATGCCTAAATTTTTCAGAGACGGTAGATTATTCAATGTTGCATATGATCTGAAAACTTGAGGCAAAACGGATTAGAAATGACAAAGTTATCAAGCATTTTCTGTATCTCGTTAACAAAATTGACTGGGTGATTATGTGACACCGTGACACGACACCTTAATTGGGCACCCTTAACAATTCCCATAATGTTTAACGGGGCGGTTAACAGGGTCACCTTATCACGTGATTAGGTTTAAACCAATCACCTGATCACACGTAATGAATAAACTCGTTCTGCTTCATATCTGATCTCGGTCATCTGAGAAGCTACAGTTCTAATTTTTTCAGGACAAACGTAATTCGAATGGCCAAACACAATTCAATAAAATTTAGCTCAATCCGACTATCCACACTATCAAATAAATGGAAAAATGAACCTTCATTTGAAAAAAATGAACTCTAATATTTTTCGATTTGACAAATTCCTCGAACCAGTGGTAGTAGTAAGTTATACCAGAAAGAATTATTTCAATTGGGCACTCAGTGACTGAGCTATTAAGGCCAACGTATGCCCACTGACTTTTGGCCCACCCTGTATATATATTATATGATATCAGTAGATATAGATATGATATGAATATTGTTTCCACGATAAAGTGCAATATTGATATTGATTAATATATTAATAGTCATTGTAATGGCAATCAAATTTAAATTTTGTTTTCCCTAAATTTTTTCCCTACATTTTGTTTTCCCTAATATCAAAAGTTATAAATTAAGGAACCCTAGTAAAGCGTTTCTTCCAGAGAGAGTTATTCCTTATATTACCATGTAATGTGGATGTTAATTCTAAGATAAATCTATATAACATTTTAAGAAGAATTGCATTACTGATATCTGGATATTATCCGGTTGGAAGAGACAAGGACAAGTGAAACAAGGAAGTTAGGAGTAAGGGCAAATTTTCGGCGTCAACGCCATCTTCAGGCTCAAATTATTTGTTATATAGTAGTGTTGAAAGTTTTAATACTTTCAACACTACTATATAACAAATAATTTGAGCCTGAAGATGGCGTTGACGCCGAAAATTTGCCCTTACTCCTAACTTCCTTGTTTCACTTGTCCTTGTCTCTTCCAACCGGATAATATCCAGATATCAGTATTTCAATCATGAGACTAATAAACAGCGAACTACTCCGTTATTTGATAAGAATTGCATTCTAAAAGGAATTTGTTGTGATCATCATCATTGGAAAGTATCTGATGAGATGATAGGTAAAATTAAAGGCGATAATTATTTAAAGAGCAAGACAGTCATAACGTTACCATAAGGTTACCATTTGGTGCCGCACAATCCACATGTTACGTAATCAATTAAATCAAGACCAAACCCCCCCCCCCCCCCCCCCCCCTTGACAGTAGTAATACGTAATACATTAATTTTATCACTAATGAGAGTGAAATTGTGTGGAATTTGAATTGAAATTTGTTGCATTGATATTATTCTATGGGGTTAAAAATGAAAGTTTTGATAACCTAATCAACAGCCAAACCTCCCGTCCCCCCCCCCCCCCCCCCCCCCCCCAACATAAGCAACTGTTATCATTTGGAACACCCACCCCGCTGCCCCCACCCCCTCCCCTCGGCTGACTATGTAATTTTTGAATGACTGCTTATCAAAGATTTCCAATCCATAACATTCCCCAGATGTATAAAATTGGCATAAAAACTGATCTTTTTTGTTTTACTGAATTGAATTTAAGATGAGGTTAGATTGGGTAATTTAAAAAATCTAAATCAACACTAGATTATATTCCCAGGAGTCATGTATGCAGACAAAAAGCAAAATCAGCAGCCAAGTTCACATCGGGGTAATTCTAACCGCAAATCATGGCCAAGAATGAATCCTAAACATCAGCGCCGAACTGGAAGCTCTGCATTCTTGGATAGAGATGGTGATACTGAGATGAATAGTGGCAGTTCATATAGTAGTGGAAATCGTGCAAGACACAAGAACAGGTACAATCCTGGGTATGGAAGAGCACGTGTTAATAAAAATGGACAACGTGCTCATGCATCAGGATGGTGGAAAATTGTTGTCCATGATGCTGATAAGTTCGATAGGGACCATTTCTTCAAGATGTTGGACAATACCACCAATGAAAGCATTGATCCTCAAAATACTAGAATTGAAAGGAACAAGCTTGTTTTCTGGATCAAAAATTCTAGAGCAAAAGAAGCAATTTACAGCCAATCTGGAAAACTGACACTTAAAGATCATACTATCACTCTTTTCACTGTTCCCAGTGAAGGTCCAGAAATACAATTGTCAAAAGATGAGCAAAAAGTGAAGGTATGTAGTGCTCTTGTCAAACGCTATGATGGCAACGAAAAAAAATTAAACCTCGCCGAATTTCATCAAGATCCTGACATGTCTGGAATGAAGAGAAAATTGTTTGAAATTTCCGGAATCTTAGGAGAGTTAATAGCTGAAAAATGTGCAGATCTAGTTGTAGAGATTGACTTCTCTAATAACAATTTAAAGCATGCTGGCTGTCTCAGAGGGATTTTAACTGCTTGTAAGGTTGTAACAAGAGTGAAGTTGGACAACAACCGTATCAACACCTTGTTAGATATAAAAACTGTCGAGAAGAATGCTACTGGAATAACCCATATTTCACTCCTCAACAATCCTGTCAAGAATCTTATGGATGATGCTCAGTATATAAGTGATTTGAGGAGGATGTTCCCCAAACTCATTGAGCTAGATGGAGTTCCATTGCCTGAGAAGATTAAATTTGAATCTGAGGATCAAAATGCCTTACTTCCAACCCAGAAGTTTGCTATCCTACTAGACCCTGGGCCAAAGAGCGCACTTGAAGGTTTCTTCCTGCAGTTTGTAAAATTGCATGACACTGGAAGTTCAGCTCGAAACCAACTTGCTCCTGCCTATGACGAGACTGCCATATTTTCCACTGCCCTTTCCTGGAGAGCAAACAAAGACACTAAGGACAAGTTTCCGGCTAACATGCCTGCAGAACTGACAAGAAGGAACAGAAACTTCAAACACTGCTACAAAGCTGAACAGAGAGAATCTCGTCTGTTTATTGGACGTGAAAATGTTGTGAAAGAGCTGTGTGAGTTAGGTGATACCAAACACATGCTGCAGACACTGAACATCGACTCATCAAGTCTGATCAACAACCACGTCACTGCTGTCTTGTCAGGTATCATTGATTCTCCAGGTAGTTACAGGACATTTAGTAGGACCTTCGTTCTTGCAGTTAATCCAGCCAATGGTTCTTTTCTCATCCTCAACGATCAGATGTCGATCATAAGGAGCTTGCCTGACACAGTTGAAAAGGTAGAGTCCCAAAGTTTCGCAACAGCTCCAGCTCCATCGTCCTCTGGGGTTAATAACCAAGCGGTGCTAGTAAGACAACTCCAGGAGGTCACCAAGATGACGGACCAGTTTTGTGTGCAGTGTTTGGAAGCTGCGGAATGGGACGTTCAGAGAGCTATGACAATATTCAGTGAAATGAGAGCTTCCATACCTCCGGAAGCATTCATCAGTTAAACTAATTTAATTATTTTTCATGGTAATGGTTTTAGATGACATTTTTCATATCATGTTGTATTAGTTGAGATCGATTAATATAGTAATATTTGGTGAGCAATTAAGAAGAAAAGATCTAGGCACTAAACTAATTTTGTCTAACTTCTTGTAGGAAATAAACTTTCTTACCTGAGTAGTAAGTATAAATGACTATTGATTTACGAAATGATAATCTTCGATCTAAAAATTGAAAAAGTAAATACTGAGCTTCTTAATTCGGTTATTATCCATAAGTGATAGCTCAGTTACTTGTAAAAGTTTGTCCAATTGAACCCTGACACTGAACCTTTTTAATTCGAGAGACGATCTATTTCGAAAAACTTGTTCATGTTTTTTGTTAGTCAGTAAATTTCACGTTAAATCACGTCTCAGTTTTTTTTGTTGGCGACGAGAGCGAAGTCAACGTTTTGGTGCAAACAAGATGAGTATAGTTTGCATCAATTTTAAAATAATTGTCATATGTTTTCTGAGAAAAGTGAAGTCGTTTATTAAACCAGAATACAAATCAACTATTTAAATTATACAATGCTGATGTTTCCTCAACTCTGCGTCTTTACTGCGTCTTTGATCTTTATCATGAACTTTTTTAATATAACGTTGTACTTGGCAAACAATTTTCTTGTTCATTCAAATTTCAAATTCATGATTTACATAAATAAAAACTGGAGGAAATAAAGTTAGAGTTACCACATTTCAACGAATTTTGTGTTCAGGATGTTTCATGTGCGGGGTTATGAACTACGATTTGATCACTTTCCAAGGAACACTTGAACGGATTCAACTGAAACTCTTCGCCAGGAAAGATATTTAATTTTACAGCTATAATTGAAAGATAGATTGTAAATTTTCGTGTTAAAAATGCTTTAATTCATAATATTATAATAACCTTGTTGTAATTCTTCCTGTCATCCAAGGTGTTCACCTAAATGAAGTATCACGTATTACATACCATGATACCACACTGTTTACATACCATACTGTTTACATACCATACTGTTTACATACCATACTGTTTACATACCATACTTTTTACATACCATACTGCTTACATACCATACTTTTTACATACCATACTGTTTACATACCATACTGTTTACATACCATACTGTTTACATACCATTCTGTTTACATACCATTCTGTTTACATACCATACTGTTTACATACCATACTGTTTACATACCATACTGTTTACATACCATACTGTTTACATACCATACTGTTTACATACCATACTGTTTAAATACCATACTGTTTACATACCATACTGTTTACATACCATACTGTTTACATACCATACTGTTTACATACCATGCTGTGTTGTCTTGGGTTAAATTAATCTAATTACGTATCAGTTCAAGATTCTCATCGGAAAATAAACCAATTCTCACCACCAATTTCAGGAACTAATGAACAATTTTACATTTTAAGATAATTACATAACTTTTGGTAAAAACACAGCCGCATTTAGACTATAATCCTGGTTTAAAGATAGCGGGTTGTTCAGTACACTTTCAGAGGGTTAACAACAGCTTAGCTGCCTCAACACGGTGCGAGAGCTCAATTAAATTAGTAACATTTACAAAGCTTACCGCTAAGTAATGGATGTAATGCCCATATATGGCATGGTCTGTACGGTAATGGATCTCTCACCAAGCTACGCTAAAAGTGGTTTTATTTGCTTTTAGATGCCTGATGTCGTTGCGCAAGCACTGAATTTGTGCGTATTGCTACTGCACACGTAAACTTTATTTTCATGGCTCATAGCAACTGTTTCTTCTATGTTTGTTATTTATTCTAGTTGAGCTAAAACTTATGTTTTACATTTTCATTTAAATTTGAATTGTAGATAATGTCATAGTTACCGTTCTACTTCTCCGATCAAGTACTGTCAAGTACTGTCAATTACAAGAAGTAATAACCGTGCCATCGCTGAGAAACAGACGCTTTGTTGAAATAAGAACCGGAAATACAAAAGAACTGTACAGTGTACAAGTCCTGGTTCGAAGATAAAACCAGTTGCTAGATTAGGTCTTCACCGGACAGTAAACACACTGTTGTAGCTAGTCATGAGGTAGCATTGTAAAACAGCCTCATGGATATTAGATATAAGTATATAACCCATTGGGACTGTAGTGTTACTGTGTTAGTCACCTTGTTTATGTAATAAAGTACAACGTGCCAGCTACAATAACGAGCTGCAACAGATGTTGTGTGATCCTGTAGTAAACCACCTGTAGTCACAGCAGGGCTCTCTGTTTTACACAGCCAATGTAATCTGACACAACTTTACTTACAGTGTGGGGGCCACGTGATGTGACGTCATGTCACGTGATGTCACGTGGTATGACGTCACGCTACACCAACAAACCTTCAGACACGCACATTACACACAATCAATGTAACTTGACCCTACTTTTCGTGTTTGGATGTGTGCCCCCTAGCTAGCTCTGTGTTTTTATTTTCCTTGTAATTATGGGAGTTGATCTTATTTGGCGGGTGCTACTGTGTGTGTGTGTGTGTGTGTGTGTGTGTGTTGTAGCTGCCTGCTCTCTTATTCTCTCACTCTCTTTCACTCTCTCTCTCTCTGCTACATATCCTCTGTCAGCTGTTTATAGTATACAGTTGGTGTTGTTTACTTCATTAATTACATAGATTATTTGTGGTGAAACAAGTGATTTAGATAATGTTTGTTAGTGAAATGTGCTAATCTTAATTCTTAGCGCACCACAGTCCACAACTACTTTTATTAACATCACACAGCTTAAACTGTGCTGTAAATATGACTGAGGAGAACATGCCTAGTTTGTCCATGATTGAAACACTTATTTGACTAAAACCGTCGTTTAATTTTACATATTCAGTTCTCATTGTTTTTCTAT